TGAGAAGGCACCGGGCAACAGAAGCTCTTTATCAGATGTTTGGAAAGCTGTCTCCCCTTGCTGGAGGCTTTCTGATTGGAGGAGGAGACTTTACTACAGCCGCAAGCACGATTGGAGCGACTCTTGGAGGTGGAAAGATTTTAAATAAAATCCTCAATGATAAAAAACTTCTGCAGGCGGCTAAAAACTATTCCCAGAAACCCGATGTAGCTCAAGGAAAGCAGCTCAAAAATCTTCTCATGAGTCAGATAAATCTCACCATCACGCAACTCACAAAAGCTCTAAAGAAAGAAGCGAAAACATTGAACCCCGTTCAATAAAAGGCGAAGCTATAGTTCATAATCATCCTCCACAAAAAGTTCTTCATTGCTCAGAAAGTACGTCTTCATCATGATGTCTGAAGGACCTATCGTAGGAGCGCTCATGCTCTTCTTGAGCTTTGACACTCAATGTGGCAATAGGGCGGACCTCTAATCGAGCAAGCCCTATAGGAGTTCCATACTTTGCGCAATAGCCATAGTCTCCAGACTTAATGCGTTTCAATGCTGCTTCTATCTTCTGTAAAAGCTTGTATTGCCGCTCCCGGATGCGAAACACTTGAGACGCCTCTAATTCTTGAGTGGCTCGAGACATCTCTTCTGCCTCTTGATGAGTATGTCTCTGCAGATAGGGCATGGATTTGTCTAAACCACGCAGGGTGTCTTCCTTCAACCTCAAAAGCTTCTGACGAAAGTAGTTGAGCTGTTGAGGATTCATGTAGTCTTCTTGAGCGGAAGGAGAATATCCCTTCGGAAGATGTAGATCCTGCATTGAACTGTCTCCATGAATGCACAATTCAACCAAAAATCTTATTGGTGGCCTCTTTTAAATGATCCAATTCTAAATGAGCGTAGCGTGTTGTTGTCGCAATATTCTTATGTCCCAAAAGCTTAGAAACTGTATATAAATCCACCCCCTGTTTCAAGGCAAAAGAGGCAAAGGAATGGCGTAAATCATGAAGACGGACGTCTTCTAAGCCGATTTTTTTGCGGATTTTGATCCAGAAACAATTGACCTCAAATATATGTCCTCCCCTAGAGCCATAAAAAACATACGGATTGTCCTTTAAAGGTTTTATGCTTTTAAGCACGTTCAAAGCTTTATTGTTTAAAGGAACTGTCCTTGTTTCCGCTTTAATACTTCTTCCTTTCTCATCTTGAAGATACAAATACCGCTCCTCTAACTTCACCTCTTTCCACCGCAGCTGTGTCACTTCTGAATGACAGCACCCTGTATACAAAAGAAATTGAAGGGCTTTAATTTTATTGCGCGCCCGTGACTTTTCCCACTTCGGGTCAGATAAAAATTCTTCTACACGCAAGCGCTCTTCTTCACTTAAAAAGCGCTCCATTTGCTTCGAGGGTTTTATC